CCACTGAGCGCAGAGCTCATTGTGGGGCTTGATTTCAAGAATCATGACGTTACAACCTGAGCCGAAATGAAGAGCTGGGTGCTCGGCCAGCTGCCACCCAGGTGCCCCAACGACTTACCTCTTCTTATTACAGCTATTAACCTCATGATCATTGGTTGTTATCATTTCCTTTTAATTCATTATTTCTGAGGTGCATTATAGAAATATATTTAGGTAAAAATGGTGTACTCCTTTTCAACTAAATAAGGATTGGTATACGATAATTTCTGGAATTATTTACACGACTCCAGATGTGGGGATCGATGTTAGCAAAATTCTTTGACTGGAGTCACCGCAGTTATTCAGAGGCTTTTCTTTGCTGGAAACAGAAAGCGCCATGGTTGTTGCCTTCCCCAGCCAGGATGGCTGATTTTTCACATTCACTGGGCTGTTAGCATTAGAGAAACACAGTTTCATTCTAATCAGAAAAAGCATAAAAAATAAAAGGTGTCATTACCGACCCACCATTAGTAACACACGCAGAATCTAGGATCAAGTAGGTGTTACTTCCTTTGGAGCCAAAGCTCCTGTTTCCAGCTGGAAGGTACTCTTTGATGCTAGAGCTGGCCGCCCATGAATCCGTGTACAACCATTTACTTGGAGGGTGGGGGTTGGATTAGACTGGTTGAAAAATTAGATAATGAAGAGAACATAAATAAGCCGGCGAGAAATGTAGACAAGCCAACCCAATGGCTCAATTTTCTTTCTCGCTGAAGGTTCTGTGAGTATTTGATGAATAAGAGCCACAGCACATCACCTGCTCATCTCTGCTCTTCTGAAACAGCTGGAGTTTGATGTGACAGCCAGAGCAGAGATCGCTGCCTTGGGAAATGCTTTGCCTCTGACTGATTACTGAATGGCTGGCAAATTAATTTTGGCACCTTTCCTTAAGTCATTTTTGGTCCCATTCCTTCATTTTTCTGCTGGGAAGTGTGTACATTACGTTACAGTTAAAAATATCTGCACAACACAAATCTGGAGAGTAGTGTGGAAAGAAGTGGTAGGCTGGGATGGTTCCGTATGCCGCCATGCTACACCCACCCTCTCAGCACGGCTCAAAGTTAGTGTTATTCCTCATCGACCTCTCAGAAGGTCATGGGCTCCAGGGTTTAAGATTTTGAGACCTTGATGAGCTTTGATTCCAGTCTTCCCCCCCTTAGGTACTTATGTGCAGCAAATCCACCCTGCCCCACAAAATCCTAGCCCCAATCCTTCCTTATATATTTACCCTGTCATGTCTAGCAAGAGATGACAAGGTGGGTGGTTAGGAACATGAACTTAACCTGTCTGTGCCTCAGTATTATTCTCTGTAAAAGAGAAATCATAATGACAATAACTTGTCCCACCCTTTCTAGATCCTTCCTTCACTGCGTTTTTCACTCGTGGGAAGCACAGATGTTTTCAACTCAACACATTTTACATTTATTTTTCTGTTCTTGAGAATGCATTTCAGGGGTGCCTGCGTGGCTTAGTGGTTTAAGGGCCTGACTCTTGACTTCAGCTCAGGTTTCGATCTCAGGGTCCTGGGTTCAAGCCCCACATTGGGGCTTGCATGGAGCCTACTTAAAAAAAAAAAAAAAAAAAAAAAAAAAAAAAGCATACATTTCATTACTGCCGACAAAGGAAAAAGGAACATGTACTTTCATCCTTGCTTTTTCAAAGTTAAGTTAAAGAGGCCATGTTTGAGACTTAGAAAGGTAAACCTTGGTAAGAAGTGATAGGTAGTTTGAGCCTTGCCTTGGGATAATGATGCAGCTTGGCTGTCTGAGCCCATGGCATGCGCGGTGTCCATGTCACAGGCTGGGGCTCATTCCTTGGTTCTCCTGATGTCACTGGCCTATTCTTGTCGTTGATCTGTCCCAACTAGTCATTCTTGCCCTTACAGATTAAGAAGTCTTAGTATTAATTATAATTACTGACTCTTCTGCTCTTACAATTATAGATATGGGTTTATTTTTTTTATAACATAAAATTTAGCGTTTTAACCATTTTTAAGTGTTTGTGTATATGTATGCATAACACCTTTATCAGAAACCTCAAAAGCGTGTTGACTTACCTGTATGGAAAACAGTGTTAAATATGTGGGAATCTTGGGGCACCTGGGTGGCTCAGTTGGTTAAGCATCTGACACATTGGCTCAGGTCATGATCTCGGGTTCCTGGGATTCAGCCCCATTGGGGCTCTCCTCTCAGTGAGGAGTCTGCTTCTCCCTCTTCCTGTCCCTCCCCACACTTGTGTGCTCGTGTTCTCTCTCTCTCTCTCTCAAATAGATAAAAAAAATCCTTTAAAAAAAAGATGTGGTGACTTAAAAGTTTATAACAATGAACTGAAACCAATCAGTATTTGAGGAATCTGTTCAGTACTACTGTATCTAACATTGTAGATGCCATTTGAGAATCCACATGGATGTAGAAGAGGCGTTTTTCTTTCCAGAAAAGTTCTGTATATATTTCCAGTTATTTTGACATTGAGTTCCTTAGGAGTTCTAGATTAGCCACAAAGACAAAACCTGTAGGAAAAAAGTATGGGAAAAAATCAATAAAAGTCAGGTATATCTGGTCAGATATAATGTAGCTAGACGTATCTGGTGCTTCTTCCAGCAGAGAGAAAAATATAGGAAAATAAATACCAGTTTAAGTAAGGTTTTATCGGCACCTAGAATAGGACCTGAGATATTGGATATGCTTGATACATATTTGCTGAATGAATTAATGAATATTTGCCGTGTTCAAAACAAACATGAATAATATTGTTATCCTGCAAATCTTAGTTTCTACTTAGTAAAAATGTTTAATGATTAACCTACAATAAAATTTGGTCAAAAGAGTAGTTCCGTTAGGACACATAGGCATGAAAATACTGACCATAATTAAAAGACCCATGTTAAAACTATATTAACTGAGGGATACAACCAACAGTCAATAATAATTGAGATAAAAGTTCGTATTTTCACTGTTTTTGAAAATTAACTGTAAAAGTAGCAACACAAATAGCACATTATAAAAGGGAGTATCTCTGCTGAAAGATTAGGCTGAATTATTCCATTTCAAAAATACTATTTTCCCATAAAGCTCTACCATGAGGATTTATAATTGGCAAGTCCTCACATAAGTATCCTATTTACCAATAAAACAAATTATGATACTATAATGCCCCAAATATTCTGTACTTCAGTTTATTTACTAATGCAGACTAAGCTGTCTTCAAATTAGTTAGAATTAATGACCTTTGCTTATAAAGTCAGAAATATCTTTTATTTGAAAAAAAAAGTTGAACTCTTAGGATTCAGGGAAATTAAAAAGTTTATGCTTAGTTAAACACATTCCAGTTCATTTTTAAAATCATATAGTTTAGCAGTAGAAATGGTTGAGTGCCTTTTTTTTAAGGACCCCACTCTGGGGAAGACCAATTTGTAGATAAACAACCCATACCCAGCAGCATTGCATTGCTAATGTCTAATGTGTGGGAGTAGGTTAGAAGCAGCTCAAACTAATGAGGTTAACCCCATACTCTAATCATCCAGACTTGCGCAAAGCAGACAAATAGCGCAGAAGCAGGGAGCATTCAATTTATTTCTAACTGTTTCCTGCCTTCTTTGTATTCCAGAATGCCTCCAAGTATCTGGTCGGTGTTCATTTCCCATTGTTTCCAAGTCTCTTTCAACTTCCAGCATTGCATTTCCCTAGTGAAGTGACTATTGGGCCATAGGCAAGAAGAGTTTTAATTCAACATCAGCACAAGATGTTGTAAAAAGTCACTTCCTGTTGGCTGGAGAGCTTTCATCTCCGCCCCCGCCCCACACACACACTTATGTACACAGTAGAGGTGTACGTGGGAGGCTGCAGACTCCCAGGGACCACACAGCCTGCCTGCCTTGGGAATCCTGAGCTCCCTGAGCTCCCAGAGGGACTCAGCATTCTTGTTGTTCTTCACTTTATAATTTTTAAAGATCAATTCTAATGTAAGATCCTTCCAGAAGTGCTTAGCATGAAGAGGGTTGTTGAGAAAACCATTTAAGATTGATTAATTAGAAGAAATTTAAAAAAACCACACATTTTAATGAGATCTGGAGTAAGACCTCTCTGAAACTACATTTTACTTTTTGTGATATTCAGGGTGTGGTTGGAAAAATCTTTTTTCCCCCAAAGTAGAAATATACGTATTGTTTTATTGTTATACACACACACACACACACACACAAATACGTGCACACACACACATGCACACACACATTCATTGTAAAAGTCTTCAGATAACAGAAATCTTTAGAGAAAAGTATCATTCTACCATTCAGATAACAATGGTTAGTGTTTTGGTATAAAGTTTTCTAGTTTTTCTTTGGCTTTACAAGCACTCAGATAATTATAGGTGATTTATTTATTTTTTTTTAGTATGGTCAGACTATCAGCAATATTTAGTCACATGTCTTTTTATATCATTTCTATATGAACAGATACACATTTTCACCATAATTTTTAATTGTTTCTTTGTATTCCATTGAAAAATGTACCATTTGTGGTTATTTCCAATTTCTCCTTAAAAGGGTGTTCTACAAATGTCCTCGTACATATGTTTATCTGTTTCTTTGCTATGAATACTTTAAATTGTTGTGTCAAGGAACATGTACTTTACAATTTTTTGTTAACAGTTGCAAAATTGCTCTCTAGAAAAATTGTATCGATTTACCTGTCAACCAGTATTGTGGGTGAGTGCCTTTGCCTCCACACCCTTGGGAATCATACAGGTTGGAAAAGAGTGGTGCTTTAGAGGACATGTCCTTCCTTTCTGTGAGCTTAGGGTCATAGCAAGCTTGCTGTAGATGGTGTGGTTGTGTTCCTGGTTGCTGAAGATTGTTGCCATCCCATAACTAGGGCATTCATTCATTGGCCAAATGGTAAACTCTGGTTTCCCTTTTATGGTGTACTGTCATACCTTAAACCTCCTGTGTTCTTCTCTCCTAGATTGAGGAAGACACGTGGCAGAAATATTACTTGGAAGGAGTCTCAAATGAAATGTACACAGAATATCTCTCCAGTGCCTTCGTGGGTCTGTCCTTCCCTACCGTTTGTGAGTAAGTGAACATTCACCATGTGCTCTTTGGCCCTCAGGGATGTTTAAGGTGGCCCTTGCAGAAAAGACACCTCATCTCTGCCCAACACGGTCAGGGTACTCAACAACTACCAAGGGATATCCTGTGTGCTCCATCTTATGTGGTGAGCAGGAAGATGGGTCAGTATGTAGTTCCTGCCTTGGGGATTTCACTGGCCCTGCTCTTTCCTGTAGCTCTGAGAACCTTATGCTTAGATCCATCATTTGCTTTAAATTATGCACTACAGTTTTCCTGCATGTCTTGAATTTGGCTTCTGCCATGTAGGACACAATTATGAAGGGTGCTAGGAACCATGTCTCTGATTTTACCAGGATGAAAACAAATCTTGCTAGCCACTTGATGAAATGAATTTTAATATTTTCCAGTCAAATCAGATAGTAGAGCTATCAGAGAAGCCATTATTTGAAGCACGTTCATGATCTGCGGAGGAAATGTGGGACCAAATACGTGGAAGGGAACCTTGAGATAGCCCTTAGTAATTTAGCCCCCAATATGGACAACTGGCATGTTATGACAACGAGAGGCCTTAGCTTCTCCTTATGTTGGCTCAGGGGGAGGGATTTGAGCAAGAGGCAGCTCTAGCCTGCCATGGCTTCTCCAGGTAAAGTAGATGAACATCTAAGGGATATGGCCTTAAGAGTTCTAAGGGTTCCAGGACCTGAGAAACTTGCATCGTGATGATGCCTCAGATTTCCCACTTAGAATCTCAGTTGTTGGGTGTAAGTCAAACAGGGGCTTTGTCCCCTGTGAAAACACAGACTCCCTGGGAATGCTGAAACATCAAGCCCGATCCACTGACACTTCAGCAAAAGACTTGATAACCTCAGTCTCACTGATAAAGACTGGGAAGAAAGGGGAATCTGGGAACCCACTAGCCTGAGGAAGAAAAGCTGTTCCTTGAGCTGTCTGGATGCCTACAAACAAAACCCATCTTCTGGAAGGGAAGGTCTGAAGGCCATAGTCCTGGGGGCCCTTGGCTCCTCTGTCTTAGAGCTTTGTGCTCTGTGCACAGCGGAGAGAGGATGGAGCACCTGGGATCTTGGTGTTTGCCTGGAGACTCCTGTCAGTGAACACAGCAGGTATACTCTATCTGTCTCTGGGCCTAGACCCTAAGCAATCCAAAATGGTCTGGCTGTTTACTGAAATTTCTCACCCTGTCTCTAAGCGAAAGTTTAAATGCTAAATGGACTGGAAAAGTGAATAGGTAATTGATTCGGAAGGAGTTATTTTCTGAAAATGGATGCCCTATTGTAACTCCCATGTGCTCCTTTCTTTTAGAGCTATTTCTCTTTCTGCCACAGAAAGAAGTTAACCGTTCATAGGCATTGGGTCCTGGAACATTGAAGCTGTCTCAGGGGATTTTCTCCACCTTGGAATTTGGCCTGCCTGGGATAGAAAGCCCGGGAGAATTCAGAACTTTTAATAGAAGCTGGTTCTATTAAAAAAAAAAACAAACCAAACCAAACCCTTGAGACTTCCTATATGATGTAGGGGTGGCCTGAGCACCCTGCAAAGGCGCCAATGCCCAGAGGGGTCTTATGGTGCAGGGGGCATTAGCAGGGGAGGTGTGTAAAGATGTGCTCCTTGACTGTTGATTTTCCCTGGCTTGCCCGGTGTGTATGTCTACCATGAGTGCTTCCTTGGAAGCCTGCATTCCCACTGCTTCTCTTATTTTGCTCCTGGGAACCAAGTCAGTTCATTTTTTGAGTATTAACCTGGAAGGTTAGAACCACTCCCCCGGAGGCTATAACTGGGATCCCACAAGGTACATCGGACTCGCAGATTTGCCCCACACCGTGTTTCAGGTCTTCAAGTGAGTTGCCAATATTTCAAAATAGAGGTGTTTCACATAAAAACGAGATGTCTGGCATCTCTCGAGTATCTGAGGAGCCAACACAGGACTTGCATTTCCACCGGCTGCTGACTGGCTCCAGTTTGTTAGAAGGAAGGGTTAAGTGTGGGTCCTCCCCTCTCTGATGCCTTAAACCCAGGGCATCGATATCGCAGGCCTGGCCCCGTAGACCCGTGAGTTTGCCGACTCTGACACACTGGGTGGTGTGAGACTTCCTTGCCCTTCGGAGCCAGCTCAAGAGCTGGACCCCAGTGGCTGCTGGTTTTGATTGATTTTCCCATTTAGAACATGTTGTGAGGAGGAGAGTATCTTTCAGACACACCTTGTTGCCGGGGAATTTCATATTTGTTCAGCACGGCTTCTGGAATGAAAAAAAAAACAAAAAACAAAAAAAAACAAAAACCCAAACTTCTGATGTGAGTGAGAATGTGTTCAACTTAGTGCTATTATTCGTTCAGCACAATGATACAGCAGAGGTAGGGATGATCAATAAAGAAAGGACATTTAATGAGATTTAGGAACATCCCAAAACATTGACGCTCTCCTCAAGCATTTGATTATCTGGAGGCTTAATTATCTGTGTTTTCTACTTTAAATTAAAGAAAAGCCATAACTCAAAGTTACCAGCAGTTTAATGATAACACTCTTCAATTCAGGTTAATTAAAGCACAGCCATAATTAGACTGTAGTGCTGTATATCACTAGGCTGGCGCTTAAGTATTTTCATTACAGTAAGAATTGGCTATTCAATTTCAAGATGACAAAAAGGACTCCAAAATATATTTTAAGCCGGTTCATGTAGAAGAAAAAAGAATTGGGGAATATTCTGGGTACAATAAAGCACAGATAAAATATACAGATTTTCAGAGCAGTTTCTGTAATTATGCGCCGCATTAAAACAATATGCAGCCAATAACGTCTTAAAGCATGAAAAGAAATAAATTTGCTCTTCCCCTGGGCCGGCAGAACTCTCCCTTGCAGTGTGGGATCACTGAATAGGAAAGCCTGGAGTTTTCTCAGAAGCTGGGAGAGCCTTCCCCGCCCCCCCTTTTTTTAAAGATTTCATTTTTCTATGTATTTGAGAGAGAGAGGGTGTGTGCAAGTGGGGTGGGAAGGGGCAGAGGGAAAGGGAGAGAGAGAATCTTAAGCAGCTTCACACCCTGCGAGGAGCTCAATCTCAGGACCCCGAGATCATGACCTGAGCTGAAACTAAGAGTTGGATGTTTAACGGACTGAGCCACAGGAGAGCTGTTTCATGAAAAGATAAGGGAACAGGATCCATGAATGGATTTTGAAGTCATTTCCCCAGAGAACAGAACGGGGCCGAGGGGAAAGGCAGGAGGGACAGAAGGCCCCCCACCAGGCAAGCTTTTTACAGATTTTTGCAGATTTCAAGGCTGTTCTCTCCTGGCCAGGTGGGACCCATACCAGCTGTATCCTTGGACTTTTCTGCACCAGCCTTTTGGCTTCACTGTATCAGCAGAAGATGCAGCTTTGTTCCAAAACCAGCCACTCATTTAGACAAAATGCAGTATTATTTCTAAATATTTCATTTATATTTTCTCATTTTATCTTCACAACGATCTTGTGGTTTATGTTAATATCACTGTTCCTGGCTTATCCTGATGGGGACGCTGAAACTCAGAGGATGTGGGTGCCCCTCCAAAGCCACCTAGCACCCAAGCAATGGAGCCAGGGTTCTGATGCTGGGTCTGTATAATTGAGAGCAGTTTGGGGTAGCTGCTAGATGAAAGCCACCTAATTAAGAATCTCCTGGGGAGCTTACTAAATGGAGAGATTTCTAGGCTTCAGCTCTAGATTTCAATATCTGGGGGAAGTCCTCCCCCCATTTTGTACTTTTTACAAGCAAGACAGGTGATTCTGATCCAAAGTCTGATGACTAGGGCCCCTCCCCCACCTCCTGCCACCACCACCACTCACCTCATCCCTCCACACCACGGGCTGGAGTAAATTCCCCTCGTTCCCCACTTTTTTTTTTTTTTTTTAAAGATTTTATTTATTTATCTGATAGAGAGATCACAAGTAGGCAGAGAGGCAGACAGAGAGAAAGGAGGAAGCAGGCTCCCTGCTGGGCAGAGAGCCCAATGTGGGGCTCGATCCCAGGACCCTGGGATCATGACCTGAGCTGAAAGCAGAGGCTTTAACCCACTGAGCCACCCAGGTGCCCCCCCTCGTTCCCCACTTTGGGCTCAGTCAATGGAATGTTTCTCTCCGATTTTAGCCAAATTGTAGAATTAGAGGTGGGCCACATGTCACAAGCTTGCCACCATTCCAGCTTCACGTGGGGTGTTCTACAACGTCCAGGGAGGTAGGATGAGTCTACACATGACCACACCAGGCAGACCACTGACGGCTCTGCCCTCTTCCCATGCCTAATCCAAATCAGTATAGGAAGAAGGCATTGGGGTACTGAGCCCCGTAATACTGAAAGTCACTTGAAGCTGGAGCGAATAGATCTGTGCCAGGTGCCAAGAAGCCTAGGGGAAACCAGTACAAGTCAGGACACAGCCTTCGAAGATCCCGCTTGATCTTGTTGGTGACCATGGTGGGCCTGTCCTAGACCTTTCCCAGGATGCCCTTAGGATGTTCCTTTTAAGAGCCAGCAACTTCTGAGCATCTCCCCTTCGTGTCGCATAGCTGGCTTGCCTCTGGGTTTGTGTGATAGTATGATCAAGGCAGAGGAGCTTTGGGATCTGAAGAGAAGGTTTCTGAACACCAGAAAAACACCTGCTCACTTTCCCTCCCACTCCCCCACCATCCCCAGGGAAACAAGTGACTGTGAAAGGTGCAAGGGGCCAATGCCAAGCCTGTAGGAAGTGAGGAGCTGGGATATGAGGCCATGGTTGCCCCTGAAGGGTCTTGTTTTTGCATGGGTCCCATAGTAGGATGCTCCTTAATGTCACCGAGTGTGACCCATGGAGTTACAAAGTCCCAGGCTCAAACCTGCCTTTCAACTACTTGGTGGATGTGTCATTTGGGACCAGATATTTGATTTCTGCATACCTCCTTCCTTTGATCGTGAACAGCTGCCTGACTTTGGACTTGAAATAGACATATTACTTCTCTCTCAATACTAGCTAATATCCTT